ACACTAACGTTAATTATTATGTTGCCACTTCGATTTTAAATTAAAGCAATCATATATTACACCGTTTTAATCAAGCATTTACCGGAAAATGTATTGAATATGGAGAGAAGTGAATTTTCAGTAATTGTGCACTTATATTGAGAATGAGTGATTTACTACAAACGCGACAATGCGACAACGCTACATTTTGATGAAATGTCGCGTTTTGTTTAAATATTGATTGTGCATTATGACGTATTGACTACAAGCGGGACAATACTCTTTCGTTTTTAAGATTAAAATATTGAAAGAATATGCATGCCTGTCAATGCTGCCATTTGTTTTAAACATATGGTAAGTAGTTGTATGCTCTTGTTTGTAGTTTTCCGCGCAGACAAGAGACAAATGTTTTGACTACCAAGAAACTCGTATCCAATCCTAAATCCTTAATTCGTTCCATGCGTGTACGTACATGACATAAACAAGTGATATACCTGTTGGGTTTTATGCCATATTTTAATGAGTTCTGTTGTAATGTCAATATATTGGTTTTTAATATCTGGATACTGAGTTTCCAATAGTAGTACAATGTTTAACTTCTATATATTTTCTTTCAAATCAACAATTACTTAGACGTTGGTGATCAATAATGAAGCACACAACTTGTATATGGCATAGGGCGTTTTGGTGTAGATTCTTACCTCACCAATATCCTTGTCTGCTCCAATTCTGCGTTTGACAATGTACATATACAATATTTTTACAGAGTTCAGGAAAGTTTTATCCGTGTGAATTAACTTTGCTTTTGTCCTGTTTAAATCTCACAAGCGAGATATCAGCCGATTCTAGTTTTTCAGCATCGTTATTGAAATTACATATTTCATCAGGTAAAAGATATTCATTAACAATATCATACTCGACAGCAACATAGTCTCGTAAACACCTGTAAGTGAGTCTATGTCAGCAACAATTAGTATAGATTTAGATTTAGTTGAGAGTTCAGAATTTTTCTGCGAGAAAGTTTTGTTTGTGTGATATCGTGAGTTAGTGAGTGAGTTAATATTTAACGTCACATCGACAATATTACAGCCACATCGTGACAACAACATACTTTGATCCTTGGGTATATATATGTTATAGCAATATACACTGTGTCATTTTGTATGCGTCATATCGTGATCCTTGGGTATATATGCTATAGCGATATACACTGTGTCATTTTGTATGCGTCATATCGTGATCCTTGGGTAAGTATGCTATAGCGATATACACTGTGTCATTTTGTATGCGTCATATCGTGATCGTTGGGTATATATGTTATAACGATATACACTCTGTCATTTTGTATGTATCATATCGTGATCGTTGGGTATATATGCTATAGCGATATACACTGTGTCATTTTGTAAGCATCATATCGTGATCGTTGGGTATATATGCTATAGTGATATACACTGTGTCATTTTGTATGCGTCCTACCGTGATCCTTGGGTATATATGCTATAGCGTTATACACTGTGTCATTTTGTATGCGTCATATCGTGATCCTTCGGTATATATGCTATGGCGATATACACTGTGTCATTTTGTATCCGTCATATAGTGATCCTTGGGTATATATGCTATAGCAATATACACTGTGTCATTTTGTATGCGTCATATCGTGATCCTTGGGTATATATGCTATAGCGATATACACTGTGTCATTTTGTATGCGTCATATCGTGATCGTTGGGTATATATGCTATAGTGATATACACTGTGTCATTTTGTATGCATCATATCGTGATCCTTGGGTATATATGCTATAGCGATATACACTGTGTCATTTTGTATCCGTCATATAGTGATCCTTGGGTATATATGCTATAGCAATATACACTGTGTCATTTTGTATGCGTCATATCGTGATCCTTGGGTATATATGCTATAGCGATATACACTGTGTCATTTTGTATGCATCATATCGTGATCCTTGGGTATATATGCTATAGCGATATACACTGTGTCATTTCGTATGCGTCATATCGTGATCCTTGGGTAAGTATGCTATAGCGATATACACTGTGTCATTTTGTATGCATCATATCGTGATCCTTGGGTATATATGCTATAGCGATATACACTGTGTCATTTTGTATGCGTCATATCGTGATCCTTGGGTAAGTATGCTATAGCGATATACACTGTGTCATTTTGTATGCGTCATATCGTGATCGTTGGGTATATATGTTATAACGATATACACTGTGTCATTTTGTATGTATCATATCGTGATCGTTGGGTATATATGCTATAGCGATATACACTGTCATTTTGTAAGCATCATATCGTGATCGTTGGGTATATATGCTATAGTGATATACACTGTGTCATTTTGTATGCGTCATATCGTGATCCTTGGGTATATATGCTATAGCAATATACACTGTGTCATTTTGTATGCGTCATATCGTGATCCTTCGGTATATATGCTATGGCGATATACACTGTGTCATTTTGTATGCATCATATAGTGATCCTTGGGTATATATGCTATAGCGATATACACTGTGTCATTTTGTATCCGTCATATCGTGATCGTTGGGTATATATGCTATAACGATATACACTGTGTCATTTTGTATGCGTCATATCGTGATCCTTGGGTATATATGCTATAGCGATATACACTGTGTCATTTTGTATGCATCATATCGTGATCGTTGGGTCAATATGCTATAGTGATATACACTGTGCCATTTTGTATGCGTCATATCGTGATCATTGGGTATATATCCTATAGCGATATACACTGTGTCATTTTGTATGCATTATACCGTGATCGTTGGTTATATATCCTATAGCGATATAGACTGTGCCATTTTGTATCCGTCATATCGTGATCGTTGGGTCAATATGCTATAGCGATATACACTGTGTCATTTTGTATGCATCATATCGTGATCCTTGAGTATATATGCTATAGTGATATACACTGTGTCATTTTGTATGCATCATATCGTGATCCTTGGGTAATTATGCTATAGCGATATACACTGTGTCATTTTGTATGCATCATACCGCGATCCTTGGAGTAAATATGCTATAGCGATATACACTGTGTCATTTTGTATGCGTCATATCGTGATCGTTGGGTATATATGCAATAGCGATATACACTGTGCCATTTTGTATCCGTCATATCGTGATCGTTGGGTCAATATGCTATAGCGATATACACTGTGTCATTTTGTATGCATCATATCGTGATCCTTGGGTATATATGCTATAGCGATATACACTGTGTCATTTTGTATGCGTCATATCGTGATCCTTGGGTAAGTATGCTATAGCGATATACACTGTGTCATTTTGTATGCGTCATATCGTGATCGTTGGGTATATATGTTATAACGATATACACTGTGTCATTTTGTATGTATCATATCGTGATCGTTGGTATATATGCTATAGCGATATACACTGTCATCATTTTGTAAGCATCATATCGTGATCGTTGGGTATATATGCTATAGTGATATACACTGTGTCATTTTGTATCGTCATATCGTGATCCTTGGGTATATATGCTATAGCAATATACACTGTGTCATTTTGTATGCGTCATATCGTGATCCTTCGGTATATATGCTATGGCGATATACACTGTGTCATTTTGTATGCATCATATAGTGATCCTTGGGTATATATGCTATAGCGATATACACTGTGTCATTTTGTATGCGTCATATCGTGATCGTTGGGTATATATGCTATAACGATATACACTGTGTCATTTTGTATGCGTCATATCGTGATCCTTGGGTATATATGCTATAGCGATATACACTGTGTCATTTTGTATGCATCATATCGTGATCGTTGGGTCAATATGCTATAGTGATATACACTGTGCCATTTTGTATGCGTCATATCGTGATCATTGGGTATATATCCTATAGCGATATACACTGTGTCATTTTGTATGCATTATACCGTGATCGTTGGGTATATATCCTATAGCGATATAGACTGTGCCATTTTGTATCCGTCATATCGTGATCGTTGGGTCAATATGCTATAGCGATATACACTGTGTCATTTTGTATGCATCATATCGTGATCCTTGAGTATATATGCTATAGTGATATACACTGTGTCATTTTGTATGCATCATATCGTGATCCTTGGGTAATTATGCTATAGCGATATACACTGTGTCATTTTGTATGCATCATACCGTGATCCTTGGGTAAATATGCTATAGCGATATACACTGTGTCATTTTGTATGCGTCATATCGTGATCGTTGGGTATATATGCAATAGCGATATACACTGTGTCATTTTGTATGTGTCATATTGTGATCGTTGGGTAAATATGCTATAGCGATATACACTGTGTCATTTTGTATGCGTCATATCGTGATCGTTGGGTATATATGCTATAGCGATATACACTCTGACATTTTGTCCATAGTGTGTCACATGTAAAAACTAACATGATGTTTCAAATCAGAGAATACAGAGAATATTTCGACTTTTTAAGTGACTTGTAATATCAGATCTGATCGCTGCCAATTTTCCTCTTGAATTTTTATTACTGTCCGTTGTTCTGTTGTGATAGAATATTGTAAATCCTGGTACATACAATCCTAATTGTCTAATTGTGTTGCAACAATAGCATATCATAGTTCTCCAGCATTTGTCTGAAAGGGATATAGTGGCCAGAACCATATCACATCCCTTCAGTGCTCACATGTAAATGCACCTAGAATGGCTGGTAGAAAATATAGAAAATTATTTCCTTTGATTTACCGTTTGCTTTATCTTGCTTTCCCATGAAAATGTCTTCAATGTTTATGCACGTTATTGATGACCTTGACATATGTCACATATCTCCACGGATGTGAAATTAGGTGCACGTAAACAGTTACACGGGCACTTTAACCCACGCACTATCGTTGCTCAAGATTATAGACCTAAATTCGACCAGATAGAATCAGAACCACTACGATTGGTTAACCGCATAAGTACCCGGATTCAAGCCACTGACTGAGAACCACTACGATTGGTCAACCGCATAAATCCGTGGGTGGATAACGGAACTTCATACCCGGATTCAAGCCACTATAAATCTTGCTGGAGACATGTGTTCGCTACCCAGGCTCTGACAACAGACAAGATACGACGATCAACAAACCTTGGTAAGTATGATTCTTCTTCATAACTTTGTCCTTATGCTCATTTAATCAGTCCCTTAGAGTTGTGTTTGTAATCAACATTGTTGAATTTAAAAAAAATGTGAATTGAAAGTCTGCATTTTACACACAAAAATATAGCCATCTATTAGAGTTATTAGTATTTTTTATGTAATACCAAAGTGTCCTATGTCATCTTTAAAGTCCATTTGCGCCGTAATTCATAATCCTTATCAGACTTAAACAACAAGCAGCTGAGTGTAGCTGAGTGTAGCTGAGTGCAGCTGAGTGTAGCTGAGTGTAGCTGAGTGTAGCCGAGTGTAGCCAAAGTAAAGTTAAATAACAAGTAACTAAGTGTACCTTTATGTGCAATGATAATGAAATATTAGGTGACCGGAATCTAGAAACATAACATGATCACTACCAGTAGTAGAAACAATGTTCAATGTTGTCAAATGTAATCTTGTAAAATATAATTTTGTGTTAGTATAATTTACTTTAATGAAGAATGGGGCAAGAAATTAATTTGCAACTACATGACCCTTACTTAGTTTGAAATGATGGAAAGTTGTTTTTGAAAACTGGAATATTTTGTCGTTGCTTTCATTATATTCTCGTTACTTCAAGTTTCTTTCCAAAATCGGGAACTAACCAGAAAATAATCGAAATACCGGGAAAATAATGGAAGCAACGAGAAAATACACGAAAGTTGAAGTTTTTAAAGAAACTCGAAACAACTAGAAAATAGTGGAAGCAACGAGATATTTCTATTGCAAATCATAATTCATGCTGCAAAAGTGGCAACGTTCGGCTTCAGTTCTTGCCATATTGATGTGCGTGGAAACAAACGATACAATTCTGTAACTCTGCCCAGGGAACCGAGCTGACTCGTGAACCGCCTCCAGATGAAGTAAATGTAACAGAAGATACTTCACGTTATTGCATTTTCACTTCCTTAATTGATTAGACAATGAGAGATAGATAATTGTCATGTGTCGCGATGTTGCATTTTCGCCTTTTTGTTTTGAACATTTACCTGTGATTGCATTCCCGAAATAACACAAGATGAGATGTATTAAAAGAAGATTTTTCAGTATAAAGTCCATAGGCCCAAGTACAACATGAATGCAACATATACTTCCCATCAAAAGTTTAGACTCACAAGTGTAAATATAGCCACTTATTCCAGGCAACTGTTCTAAACTAAATTTTGCAAAATATTCCATACTGTTTAAAGGTACTGTTTACACAGGAACTTATGTATTGTAAAATAATGTCGTAACGTTGAAAAGAGTATTATCATGAGTTTAATAAATGATAAATATCAGTGAAAATTGGCGAATTCTCAGCAAAACTTTACACCAAAAAGCAGCTGTTCACATGCACGATATTTGCATATGCTTTTCAGCAATTAAATGCATGATCCTCGTGCAATTCATTTGCATAAGGTTTGCAGTTGGTTCCCCCCAAGTTGGTGGAGAAATCAATCTTCGATGTAACCATATATACATACATAACATATAGTGAGTGTTTTAAGTGAGTCTAATCTTTTGATGGGACGTATATATACACACAAGGTGCTTAAGTTCACAACAGCAACATATGTAAAACATATATTCACAACATGATTTTTTGATTACTGGATTGTCTGGCCCAGACTCGATGACTTGCAATATAGCTGGAATATTGCTGAGTGCGGTGTTCAAAAAGTGTGCCATAAAAAGTTACAACATTGCGTCATGAATACTATTCAGTTGGAGGCATTGGTAAAACTCCGCAAACAACGTTTTGAAAAATGCACGATTCACACGAAGTTTTTGGACAGCTGCGTTGTTATCGGGACCATGCTGAGTTTTGGTGAATGTTTTCTGTTTGGGTCCAAACCTGTACCGGCGATTCTTTTCTTTTTTTTATACAATTACTTTAAAAGTGATAAGTTTCTTTTGCCCGGTAGTTTATATGTCACTGAACAGCAGAACTATGACAATAAACATACAAATTGTGTATGATAACCGAGTGTACCATAAAAATAGTTACAACATTGCGTCCAGAATCCTATTACCTAGCAGACTCTTCACATTATATGTGTTTAGGCATTCTCTTACAATGCAAGTTATTAGTGTTAACACTCAGTCATTAACAGCTGTAGGCGATCTAACTAAATGTATGTTGTATAGTTAATGAGCAGTGTTGTGTAAAATGTAACACAACATTTACACACTAAACACGTATTGTTTCAGTGTATGTCTCCTGGTTCCTCTAACCCAATATATTCAGAAGTAATACATTACAAAGATGTGCCATGACAACAGAACGAAGCCTCTCACTGGCTGAAATGTAGATATTGTCTGATATTGCTCAGTGCGTATGTCTTGTGGAACTCTGTGTACAGAACCATACTTTAAGAGAGCCTGAGTTACCATGACAATTGGCCCAGTAAACATGAAAGTTGGTATTGTGTGTGAACATACTAAATAAAAGGTTGGTTAGGCTGGAATCTGAAAGATATTTTACTACTGATAGTGAAACCGAAATAGGTTTCCAATGTTCTTATCCATTATTTGATCATATTTGCAGATGATACACAACCTGAATCATGAGATCTAACTCATGAAAACCTTGTCCTATATTTGCATGCATTAAACCTCGTACTTGTCTATCAATACCCTAGAGCCGTTCTGGAAATCCGATGTCCAACAGTCAATGCATTGACAGTTGCGTGCTTGACGTTCTAGAAGTTGGTCAGAAAATGAAAAAACATGCAACTTTATGGGTAAGAACCAGGGCCCTTACTCTCGAAACGTTCGTATCCCTAAGAATTCTTAACTTTGATCGTAGTCAGTTTGTACAGAATGTGCTTAAGAAGTTCGTAAGGCTACGAACGTTTCGAGAATAGCTAGCTAGGGCCCTTATTCTTGAAACGTTTGTAGCCCTAAGAATTCTTAACTTTGATCGTAGCCAATGTGTAAAAAATAAGCTTAAGAAGTTCGTACGGCTTCGAACGTTTCGAGAATAGCTAGCCTGGTCAGAACCAAAAGTTATTATCAATGGTTTTCTTATTACATTGACATCCCCACGAGAGGGTTTGAGCAAGGGTTATTCTGGTGCTCACCCCATGTATGTTGGACTCCATGTGTCATTTACCTTTTTGACACGTGGTAATTATATCATGTTTCTTTTTCAGGTTTGAAAGTTCCAGATACCTGCAGCAACATGGTATGGTTGGATCCCTAATCTTAAACTAGCAACATCTAAGTTGTGTTTCCGCAAAAACGCTGAATTGTCCATTTTTTTCTTCATTTCATTCTCTGTGTGTTTCCCATCTCCCTCGCGCCAGCTATGAATTCCGATATAAAACAGTAAACGGTTTCTGATCTCTATTTTCCCCTCCATTGTGAAAGTGTATGCGATGATGTGATTAAAAACACTTACATAAAAAGAAAATATCAGCTGGATCTTCCTTCATCTGCATCTATTAAAAATGAATTCGAGGCAAAAGACTTCATCAAGATAATTATATTAATTTAAAGACTTAATTGTCAGGTACACAATTAGGACAATCAAGTTTGATGCATTTTTTACTTTTATTTCATTTTACATATTTATTTTTTATTTTTATTAATTGGGGATTCTCTTACTGCTTCAAGTTGGAAATGAGAATTACAAAAAGAACGCATGATCTTGTTCACTTTAACACCCAAAGGAAGAACAAGGGTGTGGTTTACAGACATTTTGTTTAACAGTAAGGTGTCAATTTTCAGAGTTAACACCTTCAATAAAAATACCAAAGAACAATAACCGTTATTCATTTGAGTGAGTGGGTATGGTTTTACGCGGTTTTAGCTATTCTAGCAATATCACGGCGGACACCAGAAATGGGCTTTACACATTGTTCCCATGTGGGGAATCGAACCCAGGTCTTCAGCGTGACGAGCGGACGCTTTAACCACTGGACTACCCCACCGCCCAATTATTTATATAAAGAGCCATCACCCTAAGATCATTTGCTGTGAAAACCATCTCTTTGCTTTGTCTAATTTGAAAAATTGCTGAAAACTTCAGCTACAAATGATGAGCTCAGTGATCACTTGAGTGAGGATTCAGAATACATGTTGGTAAATATTCAAAGTTATGCCACGACTAAAGGTAAATACACGAATCTTGACCCAGGAGCTAAGAGTATGGCTAAAAGTGTGAACGTTGATAACTTAAATGAGTATGGACAGTTTTGTACTTGACAATAGCGATGTCTATCGATACCTGTTTTCCCATTTCAGAGCGTTCAACCAGAAATAAAAGTTGTCTTGTACAGCAATACCAACCTCACTGGCGACTGTGTACCAGTCTCTGCAGACATACCCGATTTGACAATCTTTAAGAACAGGGCTCAGTCAGCCATTGTAATCCATGGAAGGTAAGTATATATATATATATCACACAAATTAACCCATAATGTCCCATGATATATTCTGACCATCAGTTGGATGTGGCTAATGAGTGATGCTACTGCAAGGTACACAAACAGAATCAGAACATCGCTGGGCTAGGTGATTATAGGGCAAATAATGAACCCGGACATAACCTGTAGTGTATTGAATGCTCATCGTTGAAACTCTTTCACATTAAGATGTTCTGAAGTTTTCTACCGTTTTAAATTCTTCCAGATGGGAGCTGAAAAGCGCTGCGGGAAATACATACCCTCTTGACGAGACAGTCGGAAAGTATACTGACTTAGGTACTTTCAAACAACAGGCCGTGTCCATCACCCGTGTATAAGGTATATATGTATTTTCTTCTCTAACAAAAGCGCAAAGCAGAAGGTTATATCGCTTTGATTTACAAAACGTGCCTTTGTCTAGGTCCATGAAACTGGCACTGTATACAATTTACTGCCTTCAACCATAATCTAGACATATGTTCTTGCTTCAATACGGTCCATATACTGATACATCAATCCAGTCGCTGATTCACTGGGTGTCCGATGTTTATTTTGCAGGCGCCGTTGACATGAAGGAGACCCTCCCGACAAAAGGACATACCAGCCACCTGCATTTCTGCATTTTCCTCTGCACTTTCCTGTACTCTTAATTTTCCTTTACTCCAGATTATTATGCTTTTAATGTCTAACGTTTAGCTATGCTTAAGTGGGTTTGCTTGAGGTGGGGATAGGAATCGACGTAGGTTGTAAGGGTGTGGTTATGACAGTGTTCAGAGACACAGGGTGTACTCTCACTGCCTCTTTTGGACAGTTTTGTAAGTCAAAAATCACGAATGGTCATACTACCTACAGATAAACTCGACAGAGCAATTACATCATCTCAATCCCAACAATGTTGTCTTTAATTTCACAGTAAAATGATTATTAAAAAAAACGATGCAGAAAATTATTGCTCCTTTCTATTCTGTAGTGCTCGGTGTAATGTTAACTTTTCCACCTGTGCGCTTTGCTTCACATATACTATGATTCGTTTTGAACAATGAAAGCTAAAAAGATGAAGGTCATATTGCGTTGTTGAAATTAAGTCTTAAATTGAAGAAGTTGTATTGATATTTGAACATGCGTAGAGCAAAATTAGAAGCAGTCCATTTTAAAGCGCTCGCTACTCTTTTGATGATGAATTTTCTGCCCTCAGTGTTGTACATTATGTTATTTGACACTATACAGAGTAAAGAAATAATAGACAAAAGTGGGGAAAATTGTGATTCCTTTCGTTGTTGAAAATAAACATTTGATGAAATTTATAACGTTACTTGCGTGTTTGTATTCGTGCACATGAGGTATGACCGTGTCTTTGTCTGTTGCAAATAAACACAAATCTTGGATTTCCAGCTACGTGTATGTCATTGTTTGTGTGTCATTTTAAGCCGCGCTCAGCAATATTCCCTCCTTATTATGGCAGTCAGTAAATATTTGTGTCGGGACCGGACAATTTCCGTGCATCTTTGAAACAGACGTAAAATATTTATCTTCCTGGCTTAGAAGCGTTTGAGAAAGAGACTTTGAAATCTTCTCTCAGTAAGAAATACAAAGAGTGCAAGTTTCTTCCACTGAAACATACAGAGTACTTTTGTGGATTGACTTTTCATCATATATCACATTCATGTATGTGGATTGTACTCAAATATAAAAATGTCTCAAGCGAGGTACTCTTTATAGAATGACAATGACAATACTTTATTACCCACAGGAGGGAATTCTTTTTACATTTGAAAGTATAGAATAATATACGATGCATGACACGTATAGCAATATAAGACATAAGACAGACATAACACATACATGTACATAGAACATACAGTTCGCTGAGGTAAAACAAAATCATACAATTATTTAGGAGTCTAATACTAGATGGTACAAAAGAGTTTTTAAATCTATTAGTTTTAAAACGTGGCACTGGGTATCGCCGGCCGGAAGGTAAGAGGGCATATTCTAGAAATAAGACATGGGTATCCATACCCTTGGGCTGGAGGTACTGTCTGTAGAAAATCTTTGTTTTAATTGAATATCACTGACACAGGGGAATAATTTGGAGAAAGTCCCAGCTGAGAGGTTATACTGCTGAATGCACTGAAACAGCATTACGTTAACTCAGATCTTATAGGTGTGGAGTGTGTCCAAATATAAGTGTGTCCATCATATTTATACCTGTAAACAATATTTACAATAAAGGGGAACTTTGCATTAAAATAGAACTACAAGCTTGGTCATTGCTTAATTCTGGTTTACAATGTCTATCAAAAACTACCGTGCTTATCATAGACATTTCCTGCAGATTATTTCTGGGAAAAGGACCTTTGCCATAGCTTATCACAGGAACAGATGAAGTTTCTGTAGAATATCCAGGAGACAAGGAACCTTTATAAGAACACCCCTAAAACTGGGCAACTTTTTATAGAATATCCCTTGGACATAGGAACTATCTATTGAATATGCCTCGCATAATGAAACATTCTAGGGGAACTTTTTTATAGAACATGCCTGGAACAGGTGAACTTTCCATACTATATCCCAGGGAAGTTTTATGAAAACACGGACTTGGGAACCTTCTAAAGAATATCCCAGGCAAAGGATGCTTGGTATAGAATATAAACTAACGGGCAAAAGAAACGATATCAAGTCGAAATCACTGTCATTACAAAACGACAAACCACCATTGTGAAAAAGGACAGTGAATTTTAATAACAGGTGTATGGGCAACATCGGAGTAGCAATAATAAAAGTCCATTGAGTTACTGTAAAAATGAAGGAATGAAGTGTCCAGTATTTGATCACAGATGTAAACAAAACAACACACGTGGGCAGTGTCTGGTATGCCCACCGTGGGCATCAATGCAAGCCCTAACTCTACGACGTGCTGAGAACGTCAGAAGTCGTACACCTTGGGCAAGGATCCTTCGCCATTCCACTTGAAGGGCTTGGGCAAGCTGGCGTCGGTTTCCAGGAACAACGGTTATAGCACGAATCCATATGGTCCCACAAGTGTTTAATTGGTGACATGTCAGGTGACCTGGGGGCCAAGGAAGTACGTTGACGTTGTTTCTCTGTAGAAAATCCATGACAATACGTGCTGTACGGGGACGGGCGTTGACCTGCTGGAACATGATCCGGTTACGGCGTTGACGTAGGAATTGTAGCACAACCGGAGGCGGAATTTGATCAATGTATCGTTGAGCAGTGAGATTACCATCCACCACAACAGGATCTGCCTTCATATCGTCACATATGCAGCCCCTAACCACGACACCGCTGCCATCAAACGGTTCCACTTCCTACACACAGAAAACTTTCTCCACGGAGTCTGTAGACACCAGCCCTGCAATCATTCCCGAACAGCTGGGGGCCTCCTTTCGCCTGAGAACATCACTCCCTGTCACTGTCTGTTTTGATACTGGCGAACTATGTGTGCCCATCGAAAACGTTGACGTCGATGTTGAAGCGTCAGCCGTACACCACGGTAGGATCTGTAGGCGCAGATACCGTATTGTCGGAGTCGTCAAGCTGCTATTCGTCGACTGATAGGATGTCGAAGCCCATTCGCTGCTGATGACGTCACAGGTAGGAAACGGTTTCTCAGATGCAGGATACGTAAGTAGCAGTCTTCGTTGGGGAGGGGACACGAGGTCCTACACTTATGGGCCTGTCTACTGTCCGTCCTGTTTGCCTGTAGCGGGTGATCAGCCTCGTGATGACAGCACAAGGCCCCATCTGTACCAGTCCAATGGCTCGATCTCTGGATTCCTGCGATAATCAGGGCATGGTCGCTAAAGTTGACTTGAAGGTCTGATGTCGAGGAAGGTTTGCGTGCACGCTCATAACCCAAAGATGCACGTCCGTTCACGAGATTTTCGTGTTTCAAGACTTGTTGCGGTGATACTGTTCGCCCAAACACAACACTTTTCGTGACAAATGTTAGGAAAGCATTGTGGCGATTGTTTTAAGCTCATAACTACCTACAAAATTTGAGTTCGAATTATCAAAATATATTTTGATATCGTTTCTGTTGCTCGTTAGTATGGGACGGGAATTTATATAAGTCCATCCCTCTGCCCGAGGAACTTTCTACAAACCGAATGTCGAACCTCATTTCGGAGGAAGTGAAGACTCCACAAAGACTGCAGCCTCACGCATTACCTAGAGTGTCAGAAGGGCTGTGTTCCTGATAGCATGCAGCCCAGACGCCTTATGGGACTTCTCCCGGGAAGCGCTGCCTAGCCAAACCCACCAAAAACCTTTCGGGGGATGTAAAGGTCTGCAGCCTTATGCATTAACTAGAGTGCCAGAAGGCCTGTCTCCTTGACAGCAAATCCGAATACTCTCCCAATTTCAGTCAAGAGATTAGGTGGTACCAAACCTATGGCACCAAGAACATCGAGGAGTTGGACATCGTTAGGATGAGAAAGCCACAATAACTCGGTGCGCCTATTGGCTGCAAGAGTTGTATACTCCCCAGGGAGTTGAGATTGATAATACGATGTGCCGTTTAGATGACATCAAATGTTCGAGGGGAAAAAGTACCAGCGCCTTTTTAGCATGCACTAGTTGCCTGGATATGTGCGCTATGTAGATATCCTATAATAATAACTTGGAACTTAAGATGCAAGCGAGGCATTTCAAAGGGAGGCCCGCATATTTGCCATGATGTAAATAGTTTCTATTGATATAGTAAAAAGGTTGGGTTTGTTGGTTTTGAGAACTTTGTAATTGTCATTTTTCCATGACGACACAGACAACTGAGTCACAACCACAAACATGGCGAAGGTGGGTAGAAAAGGACGACCCACCCCATCGTGTTAAGATACTGTGTTTGTGGTGTTGCTGGGCGTGCACTGAGTAGGTGTTAGAAAGTCTCATTATATTTATTACAATTGGACGTAAAGTGGTGGGAAATAACAAGGCCAAAATAGCACTGAAATCCACACTGCACGGGGCTGGTGTAAGTATAATGGACATTATTACCCCGAAAAAAAAAACTGCTTATGAGGCGCTAGAAGGTTAATAGTCATATGACGTTTTCTGCTGGGAGAATAGCAGCAATTTTGACCAAACACACTTGCCTAAGGTCAGACCAAACACCTACATACACAAGACCACACATCATTATAACATAAAGTTTATCCACAGACGCATATGTTACAGACAGATTGTGAAATCACTCATTTCGTGAAATGACTAAAAATTTCGGTCATTTCGTAAAATGAATAAGATGTCGCCAGTCTGTAGTCTTGTTATCACTCATCTGGTGGAACGACATTAGTCACATAGTTGTTAACTGTACCAGCTCTAGAGTTCTGTACCTTTAAACGGAGAAGATCCGGGCTAGAATTGGTCTTCACCAACCCATGCTTTTTGTAATAGGGGCGACTAACGGAATCGGGTGGTCAGGCTCGCTGACTTGGTTGACGCATGTCATCGTATTCCAAATGCGTGGATAGCGCTCATGATGTTGATCATTGCATTGTCTGGTCATGACTCAAGTACTTACTGACAGCCGCAATGTGGATGGCATATTGCTGAGTGCGGTGTTGAACAAAAAACAAACAATGACACACACATAGTTGGAAGTCCCAGATTTGTGTTCATTTGTAACAGACAAAGACACCGTCATACTTCATGTGCACATATACAAACACACAAGAAACGTTCAATTTCATCAAATGTTTATTTTCAACAACGAAAGGAGTCACAGTTTGTCTCGGTTTTGTCTATTCCTTACTGACTCTATATAGAGTCAAATAACATAATTATACGCCAAGCCACGTACTTGGACAAAACTCAGGGCAGAAAATTCATCATAAAATATGAAGCGAGTTAAAAACGGACTGCTCCTTATCTAGCCTGATACATTTCAAATATCATTACAGCTACTTCAACTTGAGGCATAATGTCAACAATGTGACCTTCATCCTGTTAGCATTCATTGTTCAGAATGAACATAGCTTTTGTGAAGCAATTGCACAGGTGGTAAAGTTAATGTTACACCAAGAACTTCAGAATAGAAATGAGCAATAATTTTCTGCATCGTATTTATTTATAATCATTTTACTGTAAAATTAAAGACAACATTGTTGGATTAAGATGATGTAATTGCTCTGTCGAGTTAGTTTATCTGTAGATATTATGACTATTCGTGATTTTGACTTGAACTGTACCAAGAGGCAGTGAGAGTAAACCCATTTGTCTCTGAACACTGTAATAACCACACACTTACAACCTACGTCGGTTCCTATCCCCACCTTAAGCAAACCCACTTAAGCATAGCTAAACATTAGACATTAAAAGCATAACAATCTGGAGTAAAGGAAAATCAAGAGTACAGGAAATCGCAGACGAAAATGCAGAAATGCAGGTGGCTGGTATGTCCCTTTGTCGGGAGGGTCTCCTTCATGGCAACGGCGCCTGCAAAATAAACATCGGACACTCACTGAATAAGCGTTTGGATTCATTATATCAATATAACCTTCAGGGCCTAGATTTTCGAAGCTCTCTTACCGCTAAGGTAGTCGTAATTTAATGTTAATGTATGGCACTTACGACTATCTTAGCGCTAAGAGAGTTTCGAAATCTACGCCCTGCGGTAAGCTTTTTTTATAGAAGAAAATATATATACCTTATACTCGGGTGATGGAGACGGCCTTTTGTTTGAAAGTACCAAGGTCAGAATATGTTCCGGTACCCTTCGAAAGAGAATATATGTGTCCCGAAGCGCTTGCTAGCTGCCAACTAGAAGAAATTAAAACGGTAGAAAACTTCAGAACATCATTTTGCTTCCTTGATGAACAGTCGGCAAATTAATTCATCTGGGTGAAGATTTTCTGTGTGGCACTTGATTGTTTGTTATGTCCATCTATGGCGCATGTGTGCAGCAAGGCGTAACTCATTGATCAGGGCTAAATCATTAACACCTTTGATTAACCTTATTAGATAGCAATAACACCAATGATTTAGTACTATTCACGTAAGTATTTATAAAGACGAGAAACAGAACAATGTTCATGCATTTACTACATTGCATTGATAAACATCTATCAATCTCAACTGAGTTTGAATACCATATAAACAAAAAATACTGAAGTTTACTCATTAAATAACTTGAGAAATATTGTTCAAAATGTAAATATTGAAAAATGAAATATTGTTCGGGTATGACTGAATGTCTCTCTCACACACATGCTGTACTCCACACATGAGTTCACACCTCACTACAGCTAATTAACTGAAATAGTGAGCTGTCCCTGTGTGAAGGAAAACCACTTGCTTGATAACGGTGCTAGTACCTACACCGAAACATCGCACTCATTGCAATAAAGAGGTTGACTATCCATAGAACTTGTTTTTCCTTCATCTATACAACTTTTAAAATGCCTCTAAAAGAAATTGTCCCTGTGTGGTACATGCCCTCCACACAATTTCCCCTGTGTGGCACTTGTAATCAATTATGTGTGACAGACTCAAGTGCCACACAGGGTAACCACCACTTCGGGCTATGTCCAGGTTCATTACTTGCCCTATACTTAAGCAAGCTCCTGTTTGGTGTAGAAGGCAGTAGCATCACTCATCGGCCACATCCAACTGATGGTCAGTATATATTGTGGGACATTATGGGTTACTTTGTGTGAGAATATATATAAATATATACTTACCTTCCATGGACTACAATGGCTGACTGAGCCCTGTTCTTGAAGATGTTCAAATCCGCTATGTCTTTAGATACTGGTAAACAGTCGCCAGTGAGGTTGGCATTGCTGTACAAGATAACGTTTATTTGTGGTTGAATGCTCTGAAATGATAAAACAGGTATAGATAGATCAAAATGTCGCCATTGCCAGTTAGAAAAATGTCCATACATCATTACGTCACTGGATTTCCGGGTCCAGATTCGGGTATTTACCTTTTGTTGTGACATAGCTTCGACTATTTACCAACATGAATTCTGAATATAAGAAAGGTAAGATACGTTAAGGATGACAACTTCTTTATTACATTATGATTCGACGTTTCGGTATAAGTTGTTATTATTCATCAGTTTCTGAAGTGTGAATCAAAAAGATGTATTCTGAATCCTTCCTCCAGACATTACCGAGCTCATCATCTGTAGCTACAGTTGGGAGCAATTACATCTAGTCTTTCTGTTGCCTGCTTTGTTTTTTCAAATTACACAAAAAGCAGATGGTTTTCACAGACTAATATCTTAAGGGGCGCGGGGTAGTCTAATGGTTAAAGCATCTGCTCGTCACGCCGAAGACCCGGGTTCGATTCCCCACACGGTACAAAGTTTGAAGCCCATTTCTGGTGTCCCATGCTGTGATATTTTGATGTCATTGCTAAAAGCAGCGTATAAATACACACTCACTCAGATGAATAAAAGCAACAAAACCTTTTTTCATTCAGTGTGTTAACGCTGAAAACTGCCACCTTACTGCTAAACAACCCCGCTCTTGATAAACTGTAGGGTGACTACATGAGCAAGACCATCTGTATTTTTGTGTGTTTCATTTCCAACTTGAAAAAAACAAGAGAGCGGACGGGCCAAGAAAATATATAAGTGATAAATAACACACACTGTTTTGCACTAATTTGGAACCTTACTTTATTTTCAATGTTTGAATTAATTTATGAAGTATACCGTGTCTCTTTGCCTCAGAAACAGTTTTTAATATATGTAGATGAAGAAACATCAATTTTATGTTTCTGTTATATGCAAGGGTAAGAGTATACTTTGTTTTATCGCATTTGAGATCAGAAAACGTTTTACTATTTTATGTCAGAACTTTGGGCTGTCGCGAGGAGGATGGGAAATACAGAGAAAAAATAAAATAAAATGGACAATTGAACGTTTTTGTAGCAATACAGTAGATGTTGCTAGTTTAGGATTAGGGATCCAACCATACCATGTTGCTGCAGATATCTGGAACTTTCAAACCTGGAAAAGAAACATCATATAATTACCACATTTCAAGAAGGTGAATGACACATGGAGTCCAATATACATGGAGTGAGCACCAGAGTAACCCTTCCTCAAACCCTCTCGTGGGGATGTCAATGTCGTGTTGGACAACGGATTTCCAGAACGGCTCAAGGGTATTGATAGACAAGTACGAGGTTAAATGCATGCAAATATAGGGCAAAGTTTTCATGAGTTAGATCTCATGATTCAGGTTGTGTATCATTTGCAAATATTATCAAATGATGGATAAGAACATTGGAACCTATTTCGGTTTCACTATCAGTAGTAAAATATCTTTCAGATTCCAGCCTAACCAAACTCTTATTTAATAGGTTCACACACAACACCAACTTTCATGTTAACTGAGCCAATTGTGCTAATGTTTAAATACTTTGTGTTTGCATTTTACACACAACACTACTCATGAACTATACGACATACGTTTAGTTAGATCGCCTACATCTGTTAATGACTGAGTGTTAACACTGACAACTTGCACAGTAAAAGAGTGCTAAAACATATATAATGTGAAGAGACCGTTATGTTGTAACTTTTTGATGGCACACTAGGTTATTAAACACAATTTATCTGTTTATTGTCATAGTTCTGCATTCAGTGACATATAAACTATCAAAAAGAAAGAAACTTATCACTTTTAAAGCAATTGTATGAAAATAAACAAAGCTGGTGCAGGTTTGAACCCAAGCAGAAAACATTCCCCAAAACGCAACATGGTCCCTTTAACAACGCAGCTGCCCCAAAGTCTGAGGAAATCTGAATGACTGGGCATGGTCAATTCAGGAATGAAGCGTTGAGACCTTTTGTGATGCCCTTTATTCGACAACAGCCAAGAGGGGTCATTTTGCAGCACAACAACACAAGGCCTCACACCGCCAGAGTTGTTCGAGAATACCTGCTAAAGCGTTCTCCAGACATGAACCCCATTGGATATACCTGGGATCATGTTGTTCGTCAGCTGAGGCAGCGTGTACCGCCTCCAGCGAACCGACAGGAACTTGAACAGACTCTCTTGGACTTATAGAACATGATTCCTGCTGACGTCATCCGTTGACTGACGACGCCAATGAAGAGACGTGTGTTGGCGTGTAGGGTGGCCACACTAGCCATTTGTGACGTGTTCCCTCACACCTGTCTCATTATGTAACTCTTTATGTACTTTCTGAATGAACTCTGGTTTGAGTATTTTGTAATTTTGATCCCTTGATTCTTTCTTTATGAATTGCAGCAAATGCAAGAGTAGGGTTACAATAAACTTTCAGTCAAATTATTGAAAAGGATTTCTGTTTGTAGAATAATTATCATAAATCTCACATACGTCTTTGTTTCTATGTTTAGATCAAGTGAAGTCGGTGATAACTTTCTTTGTCCGGTTTTCTATTTGAACAGTATATATTTGGAAAGTATTATGATTACGTTAATTGGATCATTGTTTCTGTGAGAAAATCCGAGGAGAATGTGTTGTCTAGAGAGGATGAGTAAAAAAAGTTTATCTAGTTTATCGTTGAGCCAACTCACTCAGCTGTTGCTAAATTGGCGTTACCTTGTTACAAGCTGTAAATAGGTGTGAAGCATTTTTTCTCAAGAGGTTGCGATGAATGGTTCTGACAAACATAGAATAGAATATTCGGTGTGAATCCGGATTACAGCGAACAGGTTTCTGGTGTTCCCTGGAACGCAACTTTTTACAGCAAATTGAGGCACTTTTATACATGAGGTGCACCCGTGTTCTCTCATATTTAAGGGTCGAAGTAATAAAAACAATCCAGTCAGTTTTAAAAAAATGAACTAGGCAATTCCGTCTCATTGGGGTTGATACTTTGTTTATTTCATTATTTCGGGATTTTTCACCAGACGAAGGAGACAAAGCTGTACAGGAAATATCCAAGGAACGGTGTTTGTGAATAATGATGCAATGCCATATGCTGTTGTTAAAGCTGATAATGTAAACCCATCTTCTTGTCCAGTATTCAGAAAGTCATTTTATTTGTTTGCAGTGTACTATATTGCTTCGATATCCTATCCAAGACAGTATTCTTAGATTCTTGGCCTCTTACAACAACAAATTGGTTTTGGGTGAAGCGTTCACTGAACCGAAATAAAACAAATGTGCAGCATGCTCACATGTTGTCTAATGTGCGACTCGTAAATATATTCAGTGTCAGGAGAAATTAGACTTTTATTGTTTATTGTTATATTGATTGTTGAATATTATGTGTTAATTAGATTTAGCGTTTTAATTTATAAAACATAGTTGTGCGATACACAATTACTATTTTTCATAATTATGCAATAAGTCATATGTACAGTTTCCTTACATTTAGACAATGTGGGCTGTGGAAAGGACCATGTGCATCCCGTATCATTCATTGTTTTCATGGTTCGAGATTTTCAGAGCGTACAGTATAACGCAAGCCCTTTTCTCACAATAATGGTACTACAACAACAATTGACGTTCATTGTGAATTACATTTTACAAGATTACATTTGACAACAATGAACATTGTTTCTTTACTGGTTGTAATAATGTTCTATTTTTCTCCATTCCGGTCACCTAATATTTCATTATCATTGCACATAAAGGTACACTTAGTTACTTGTTATATAACTTTACTTTGGTTTGGTTTGCCTGTTGTTTAACGCCGCACTCAGCAATATTCCAGCTATATGGCTGCGGTCTGTGAATAATCGAGTCTGGACCAAACAATCCAGTGATCAACAGCATGACCATCGATCTGAGCATTTGGGATACGATGACATGTATGAACCAAGTCAGCAAGCCTGACCACCCGATCCCGTTAGTCTCTTTTTACAAGTATGGGTTGTTGAAGACCCATCCTAACCTGGTTCTTCACGGGTCTATTTAGTTTTACTAAGACTGCCAAGGTGATGAAGTACCGCCCAAACGGACTGTAAAGATGAGATAGGTTTTATTTTGTATTGCATAACAAATACTAATACATGTAATAACTGGTTTTATCTTTTATTTAAATCCCATAGAATTTTCAGTACATATTTTTCTACAGGTTAAGAAGACGAGGACAGCAACAAGTTTATGGGACTGAATAAATGAGTATAAGCACAACATTATACAGAAAATCATACTTACCAAGGTTTGTTGATCGTCGTATCTTGTCTGTTGCCAGAGCTGGGGTAGCGAACACATGTCTCCAGCAAGATTTATAGTGGCTTGAATCCGGGTATGAACATCCGTTATCCGCCTATGGATTTATGCGGTTGACCAATCGTGGTGTGTCTCATTGACGTCGGGTCAAGGATATCTTAACAACTAAATGAAGGACAGTGCGGGGGTGTAACTTGGTTTGGTTGTTGTTTAACGCCGCACTCAGCAATATCCCAGCTACATGGCGGCGCTTGGTAAATAATCGAGGTTTGACCAGACAATCCAGTGATCAACAGCATGAGACTGGACATAACACATTTTGAACAACTTCTAAACGTTTTCATCACACACACGTGGCTGCAAAACGCCCAGATAAAGCTGAATTATTGCTGAGTGCGGTAATCAATATCATCGACATCGATCTACAAAAAATGGGAAGCCATGTTATCCCTTCAAGGGTATCAGTCGGGTCTGGCCACCAGTGTGTTTATCAGTGTTTTGGCAGTTGGTGTAGGGTGGATTCTTAAGAGGTGTCAGTGATGGGAGGTTGATTGTCATGGATGTGGCTTGTAATGGGAGGTGTGAGGTTGGGGCAATTTGCTGTACAGAGTTGAGTCTCTCAGTAGCAACAGAAAACTATGATCATAGGTTCGAATCCCAGTACCATTCACATTACTCATTCCTCCAATAATATCAAGCTGACAGGCTGTGAAACACTGAAGTATTGCTCAAGGCGGCGTTAAAACTCAGGCCACATCGGCATGAACATCAGGTGAAGTCCTTGGATAGATGACCACGTTCGACACTTTGGCTCATAGGAGGTTTCTGGGGACGGCACTGTCCCGCACAGATGCACACACACATACACAGATGTCTCTCTGGTAGAGTGAATTTGTTCGAAATGTGCCTCTGTTCAGCCAAAGCAGTGGATGGATACCAGGTACAATGTCATGATAATATGACTTAACCCTCTAGCACTACATAGACAACTTGGGTCGTATACTCTCGTTAAGGACTGAGAATTCACAATGTAATAAAGGGCTTTGAAAACGTTATATTCTGCGCGGGGAAACGTCA